ATCCACAAGACAGCGGGCAAACGCTACGTTTACCGCTTTGCCTGTGACATACAGGGCATGCTGGGAAAGACGGCGCAGGAGGTCCTGACCAGCCTGAACGTTTTGCCGACGAACACAGAGTCGTGGCCCGGGGTACCTGCAGCTACGTCAGAGCACAGCAGTGAAACATGGGCGTCACAGTAGAGAATGGGTGCCAGGAGGACTTAAACCAGCCTATGAAGTAAACACTGCCTCCTCAAGCCCTGGCTGATGTGCAGTACGGGTGAGGATGATGCAGAGAGCCAAGATGCTGCATTTCAGGGAATAAAAAGATCAAAAAACTCATCAAATTCATGCAATCAATCAATATTTTAGTTTTTCTTAAATAGTGGATCATATTAGACAAAAGTGTTCCAAAAACTGACCCATTAATATAGCATATCAGCCCAAAAAACAACAGCCCAGGGGCATTTGAAGCACTAATACTTGTTTGCAACATCAGGGGCCACTCTTAACATGTTATGTGTTTCTGAGAACTAATTGATTGTAAATAGTGTTCATATGGTCATGCAATGTAGAGTTTTGTGCATTTATATGTATTTTTTTAAATGCAAAACTCATGTCTACCTCTGCCTGAAAATAATCTCAGTTTATGTGTTTCTGTTCAGCAATAATCACTGTGAAAGACTGTGGGATGATTGCTTTGTGTAAATAAACTGTATATAAACTCATTGATTTGTGTGAGAGTCTTACTCCATTCATATTGTAAATACTGCCAATAAAACACTACAATGTGTGTTTCTCATACTTGATAGATGTATATCCCTTCTTGTTATATTGTTTTAATGACATGAGTACAAAGGGGTTTTTGTAAGTATCATGCTATTAGTATTATTATTATTAGAGTGCATGATACCAAATGATTGTCATGTGAATAGGGTCTTTGTGATTTGTTGGCCTACTCTTCTTTAAATACATATTTGCACTTGAAAGGGTTCCTTTCAAAAACAGTCCCTCTTGATGTATTTATGTATTTTCCTAAATCTCGTTTGTTTGAATATCAATCAAACTGTTGATTTAATTATTATCTATAATCTGTTTTCGCAAACCACTTATTTATTTCTATTCTTGTATATTTTGTTTTATTGTAAAATGCCTTTTATGCTGCTGTAACAAAAACAATTTCCCAATTTGGGATCAATAAAGTACGATCTATCTATCTATCTATCTATCTATCTATTTCCTTGTTTACATGTGTTTCCTCGTGACATTGACATCGGAGAAGTCATAATTTCGACATTTACCAGCGGCAGTGAAAGCCTCCTTCCTGAATGCGTCTAAAGTAAACCTGGTTATTATTTTCTATATCAGGGTAAACGAGGGAAAGTTCAAATCAACAGGACATTTCAGATCCCTCCCGCAGTAACCAGGTTTAGAAATGTCTTCTCAAAATATTAAGATGGCTATAGCTGACATGTTCGAGGATCTGTCGAGCAGTAACTTTGACAATTTCCGCGACGAGCTTTTACATCGCAAAGAAGGACCGCGGGTTGCACGGATCAGGGTGGAGGGTAAAAGCCGCTTAGAGATCACAAACGTCCTCGTTTCCACTTTCACGGAGACTGGAGCTGTTGGGGTAGCTGCGGAGATGTTGAGAGAGATTGGCTGCAACGAGGAAGCAGACCAACTCGGTAAGTGTCGCTTCATGTCTTTGATGCAGAATGAGAACAGAGCCGAATCATCTGCAGAACATTGAACCCTAAATGTCAGATAAATCACCGACAGTTCACAATGCAAATAGTCGATAATATATAGTAGGCAATATATTTCTGCATAGATAAAGTTGTACACCATTGTTTGTTTCGAATAGCCCGCGTTTTTTCTCGCTCTTTAACTTGTGTTGTAAGTTACTGTTGCATAAGTTAAGTTTCCTGGAAGTTATGTAACTGACGACCTGCCAGTGTTTCCTTGTTTCAATTGAAATCATCTTACATTTCTCTTAACAATGTAGACATTTCGTAAATCCTTTGAGAATGGCCAAGACTAGTGGTTTCCATTGAAAACACCTTCTGCAATCTGTCTGTCTGTACCCTACCCTAAATGTTGTTCTTATTTGTTTACAGTCAGAAACACAACCGGAAAACATTAGACTGCTCTTTTTGACAGTAAGTTGGCATGTCCATAATTGGTTTATTACATGTAAAGCATTGGGCAAAGATGTACAATTCACATTTAATTTGTTCTTAAATGTCTTACAGCTGCAAGATCCTGACCAGGAGCTTAGTGAATCAGTGGGTAGGCTATAGGGTATCGGTGGTAATGCAACATCTCAGATCATGTTTCACTGCCTGAATGCTGGATGTTTGAAGGAAACAAATCGAAATAATTTACATCAAAAGCTTCAATCTGAATTGAGATATCTTCAACAACCATGGCACATTCAAATGTTATTTTTATCCCAATAAAGTTAAACGTTTTAATGAAATCAAAGCCATTGTTTTGTTCTGTATTTCTCATCTTTTGTACTTCTATTCCCATCATGCCCAGCAAGATTATTGCCACACAAGAGGGTAACCTGCTACTGAAACTGAAACACGTATTAATGCTTTGTACTGTGGCTCTCAGTATAGGCATGGGTATTCAATATTGTTTCCATTTAAACCTTTTACAAAACAAGCAGGTCTTCATGTAAATGGAGGTGTCTTATAATATGTATCTAGACTATAAAGAGGCCTGCCTGACACATTTATGCACTTCTAACAAATCCCTAAAAAGCAGCCTGCATTACAGAAAATGCCCTTTAAATAAAAGTTTGAATGGCTGTTCTTATCATTAAAACACTAGATTCCACCGGGTCCGTCTGCGGCGCGTTGTGCCGCGGTGCTCACGGCGATCGCGGCCACTCTAGTCAATGGGTGCTATTCCACCACACGCGGCGCGTTACGGCTCAGAAGCGTCCCAGAAGCGACTCGGCGCAGGGCTCCTCTAAAATTAGGATCGAATCCTATTTTTGTCGCGGCGCAGCCGTAACGTAAGGTCGGGCAGGCAGGAAGTGGAACGTTCAGAGCATATATAGCATATATATATATATACACACACACAAACTAATTTTGCAGACCCTATCCCTCCGTAGTCTTTCAAGTAGGAGGAGAAATGCCAGCGTTCTCCTCCGGTTTGCAGGCACTGTGTAAATTATATATATAGAATAATTATGATGATGAATGCATTTTTTTACCACTAAAATACAGCAACACATCTTTGATTCATGTCGTTTATAACTGGAATATTACAGTTATTATTAACTTTGTCTGTACAAAGTAGCCTGTCCAGGAAATATGCCCAAATCAACAAAAACTGCGAGCCGGCAGGCAAGACGCTCCGCTTCTGAAATGCTTCTGAAACGCGCCTGGTAGGGTATGACACCGGAGGAGGCCGGACCAAAACCGCAACGCGGCGCAGACGGACCCGGTGGAATCTAGGGGTAGGCTACACTTTACAGTTGCTACAAAATGATTTATAAGATTTAAAATAGATCTGATAGATATATTCCCCCTTATACAGCTTCTCAGCAGACCTAGACCACAGTGACATGGCTACAGCAGGGGTATCCAAACCTTTTTTCACAGAGGGCCACAGAAAAATATACGAAGGGCTGGGCCACTTATAGAGGTATATTGCCTCGTAAGTTAAGTTATAAGTTAGCAAAATGTAGGTAAATTAGGCTTGATACATGAATATGCTTTAAGAAAAAAACAGCCTACATCACAGCTCTCCAGAGGGTTTCATTTATCTTGTTGGCAGCTCATTCCTTAAAACAGAAGCCTCAGAGTGATTATAATAAGAGGAAATATGAAGGCTCTATTTCAAGCTTGTTATGTAATTAAGTTATTGGGCTTTTTCTTATCAACTAAGATATTTTAGAAAATGTTTCCAACTTTAATTGACTGAATTTATTTTAAAAGTGGTCTTAACACATGAATACTACTGTGTAATGTAGTTGTACATATATATTTAAGAAGAACAATATAAGAAAAGCACAAGTTTCATTTGTGGGCCGTATTCCATTATACTTTTTGTATTTGCTAAGGGCCGATTCAAAATGGCCTGCGGGCCGCATTTGGCCCCAGGCCGTAGTTTGGACACCCCTGGACTACAGTGTAATAAATCCTGGAAGATTTTTGACATCCACCTGGATTCATCTTCTTCTTATAGATTCACTACTGTCTCTGTTATAAATGTGTTATCTTTCAAATGTACACAACACCTATTGCACGTCTGTCCGGGAGAGGGATCCGTACTCTGCAGCTCTTCCTGAGGTTTCTTCCCCCCATTCACTGGGTTTTATTTGGTAGTTTTTCTGTAAAGCCCCCTGAGACAAATGTAATAATGTGTGATATTGGGCTAAATACCCTTTGATTGAATTAAGTAATATTAGTAAAGCAATAAAAAGGCAACCTGCATCTGAGACTTCCTCTGATGGTTCCCTTTTGATGTCGACTATTGATTATATGTCCAGGGTCAAGGTATATTTAGCTGTGGCAGGCAGCTTTTGACATCTCTCTTCATTGTGAAATAAATACTCAAGTTTAGGTGCAGTTTTTGGGTAAACATTCACATTAAAAATGAGTACTCACATGTTGTTCTGCTCTTTGTAGCCATTTCTCATATATTTCAGTCTTGAGATATAGGCCAGTAGCCTATAGTCAACAACCAGTTAATTGGCAAACATTTGGATAATGTCATTGTCAGTCATTCTTGAAGCCAAAAGGCAAAAATGCTCTGGTTAGAGCTTCTCAAACTTAATAATTTACTTATTTTTCGATTCAACTAATTTGGGATAAAGAACATAATTATCGGTTGCATGAAAGCTACTATAGAGTAGCCTATGTTGGTCTACGTGTGTACGTATAGGCATATAGCCTACTGCAGTATATAAATAATATTTAATGTATGTCCTGTATTATTGACTTATCTATAATGATCATTGTAGTTTCCGACTGCATATGAAGGCACCATGAGTCATACAGTCTATGTTTCAAACCCTCCAACGCGGCAGCAGTGAGTCGGTTCAAGAGAAAAGCAAATCCAGCTGTGTGTCCTCTGCAGCTGGTCTGGGAGAAAAAGTCACGGCAGTCCCACATCTGTTGGTGAGAAATGGACAAACGAAAGGCTGTAAAACGCATGTTGTCTAACCTGTCAACGGACCACTTTGCCGACTTCTGCGACGAGCTGTTGCACCGCAAAGAGGAGCCGCGGGTCGCGCGCAACAGGGTGGAAGGAAAAAGCTTCTTAGAGATCACGGAGGTCTTGATTTCCACTTACAATGAAACCGGAGCTGTCGAAGTGGCTGCGGAGGTATTGAACGAGATTCAATGCAACAAAGAAGCAGCCGAACTGTGTGAGTACTTCATGGTTTGATGCAGAATGTTAGAAGGTTAGTGGAGTACAGAGCTTCGTGACCGCGGAGCGTGTGAACGTTGTGATCAGCTGTTTTAGCGCAGGGCTGCTGTACAGACCGACATTAACAGCAGCCCTGTCTGTGCACACGGAGACCGACTCTGTCGTCCGGTGATCTAAGCGCCTTCTGGAAAAGCTTCACAGGTACGTCGGTACGCAAATGCGCTTTGTGACACAAGCAGTGGCGGCGCCAGGGTATGGCTGGGGTAGGCTACAGCCATACCAAGAAATGGCTTAGCCCCACCTTAGCCCCACCATGAAAAATGATGTTAAAGTAAGCTAAATAAAGTCCGTCATCTCGCGCGGAGTAAATTGCACAGACAGCAGTTAGTAAGATTGATTTCAGTAGCCACTTGTCTGGAAATACCGAAGACTAGAAACGGTTTTGAAAACTTTTGTCACATAGTGATCTTCTTCCCAATAAAACATCTTTGATAATGTCTTCTGGCCAATCAGAATCACGATAACGGCGTGCAGGAAGTCCCGACGGAGAATACTTTAGCGGTAGTACATCTCTATATACATCGATACAACATTACGTGAAATAAGACCCCAAGGTTTGATGATTGATAGGTGTGTGGGCTGTCTTTCATTTTGACACACAGAACAATGGGGGCTATCCACCCTTATCCACAATGTAATTCACACAGCCTCTTCCCCTTTCTCTCTGAGGAGCAGCAGGTTCAGCTTTCAGAACAAAGTAACAAAAAACAAAAATGGCATTCATTTTTTTAAATATGTAGTAACAGATTTATTTATTTTTCTTCTCAAGAGAGTACCAGAATGTGTATTTTATGTTAGTATTTCAAAAAATCTCCTGGGGGAGAATCCCCCCAGACCCCCCTGTAGGGGTTGGGTTTTCAGCATGTCAACTCTTTCACCTGTGGGGAAATTGCAGGATTGGCTCCAGGTCGCCCTTTGTATTTACTACAAGACAAATGTGCCTTTTTATTTCATACAGTTCAATTTGGATTGAGACAGGGAAATAATCTAAACCTCACGCGTGGCGTTTCACTGTCAAGGGGGGCGATATAGCGTGTATGTAATTACATTGCAAATACTGATTTGAGCCCCACCACTGTATGGGTTAGCCCTACCATAGATTACCCAACACAAATACTCTGGAGCCGCCACTGGACACAAGTTACGGAACGCATTTCAGATTGTTGCCGCGCATGCGTACCTGCGTACCAGTTATGTGCACCACTGGTTATACAGTGTTTCTCAATGAGAAATGATAACTCCTTTTATGCAGTGGCGGTTATAGACCAATGACTGGGGGGGCCAGGCTGGGGCCAGTTATTTTCTGACAGGGGCACAATATATGCAGGACGAAAAAGACAAAGACAGTATGAAGTAATTGCGCATAAGAAAACAATGCAATACAGTTATTGGTACACATATTTATTTCAGATAGCTACTTATAGTTACAGGTGTGTTATTTATAAACGGAGACTGTGAAGTCCTGACAAAAATCTTCAAAGTGAGGAGAGAGGACGCTGGCACGGTCTGTTGCCGCTTCTCCCTCATAGCCTCTTTTTGTTATTTTTAGCAAGGATTCTAATGCTTTTCTTTTGTTTTTGCACGGATTATATGGATGCTTATACCAACTATACCCAGACAATAATCCACTTTCCTGCAAATCCCTCGTCGGATGGACGAGCTACTAACGTCTAAGCTACAAGTGGAAGACCGGCATGACGCTAAAGTACTCCATCTCGCAGCTGCTCGAGTTAAGACATTACAGCACCCCAACCTGTATCTCAGCACTTAACACTAGAACCGCCAGAGATTTTTTATACCTAAAACCGCCACCTGGGTCAAATTGACCCGCTATTAGAATGCATTGATTTTCAAGGTAAAATATTCTTTTATTGAACTGTGAGTTTTGATCGCACAGGGATGAAACATATACCAATATAATCTGTGGACTCTCAGGGCTCGACATTATAAATGGCCCGCTGTCCCGGAAGCATTATTTAGACACCGCGGCCAGCATAACGTACTTTCAACTCGCCCCACAGCTGTTTGCTGCGGAGCTCAGCGCGAGCAGTCTCCCGTGAGCGGGAGCGCACTCCTTCACTACAGACTGTCTCTATCTCTCTCTCTCTCTCTCTCTCTCTCTCTCTCTCTCTCTCTCTCTCTCTCTCTCTCTCTCTCTCTCTCTCTCTCTCTCTCTCTCTCTATCTATAACTATCTATCAAAATATCTATCCATCCATCTATCTCTCTCTCTCTCAATCTATCTCTCAATCTGTAAGGAACAGCAGTAGACAAAAGGCGTTGCTATAGCAACACGTCATGTTTATATGAAAAGGGGTGGGGTCAATATGACCCGCTTGGCGGAAATAGGTATAAATGGCAATTTTTTGGGCGATTTCTTCAATCTGACTTCATATTGACAATTTTTTAACAACATAGGGTGCTACATAACACACTTTCAGGAAAAGTCACGGACTGGAAGACTTTAATATTTTATTGAAAAAAAGTTACACACAAAAAAAACAGCTCTGGGTCTTTTTAGTTCTAATGGTGTCTTTCTTTCTCTTTTGCAGTGAAAGCGACTGGTTTACAGCCCTAAAAACCTGGTTCCAGTGACAGTGAGTCATTTTCCTGTTTTAAAAGAGAAAAAACATCATTTTTATGTGTTCAAAATGTCTGTGGTTGAAAATAGGCATGTGCCTTTTGACCTCCCCACCTGTGTTTTTCCTACTATGGCAGCATGTAAACATTTCTGCTGTGAAAACATCCAACAAAAACATTGATTTGAATTTTATTAAACACACAGTGTGAGGCGTTAGGAAGCTCTTTCCAAAGCCAGTATGGAGGAATGATTACAAACGAAACTGTTTCAGTGTAGTTCTGACACTACTCTTTCCTCAGAATCAGATTGGTAAAAGGATTAAAGCAAACTGGCTGAACAGGATTCCAAATCTATTGCACAATGGATCCAAGGATGGCAGTCGTAACACCCCATGTGGTATGTTCTACTATAAACACCGGAACAAATGAACACGCACATATCTTAAAGTTAAAGAGATAGAAGTACAGGAAGTACAAGTACTGCATCCATCAAGTGAAATATATAAGGACATGTGAGTCATGTCTGCCTCTCTGCAGTGAGTTCAATCAGGAGAGACGTTGATGTATGGAATACATATTTATTACCGGGAGACATAATATGAATGTAATAATGATTGCCACAATTATAAGGTGGTGATAAGTAGGTGGGAACGGACTGAAGGGAGAAGGTTTAGCTTGGTCTTGAAGGAGACAGGAGGCGAAAGGGGTGGAGGAGGGTTGCGTTTTGTCACCTGAAATGACGCTGACAGACGGAAGAGCAGATATAAAGGGATTAGCGGGAGCCATGATAGGTTTGTGAGAATGGAGAGAGGAGAGATTGGTTAGCTGGGGAGTGACGCCCCCGATCACTTAATGAGGGAGCAGAGTGTAATGAGGTGACGTGTAATCTGAATGAAGAGCTTGGTCTTCTTGATTGAACTTGCGCTGAGCTTCATTAGATCATTTCTCCACCTCAGGAGAAAGTGATTTTTTGCTTTTGGATTATGCGCAGACATAATATAAGTCTTTATTTATATAGCACTGTTCTTAACATTGTTAAAAATAGGAATCATAAAAACACCAGAGGATAAAATACATGACAGCCCGCCTGGCACGTAACATTAACAAAAACAAAGTACATAGGAGCATGGGACCATTGTTTTAAGATGTACTTGAACAAAAAAATGAACTACCAAATTGTAGAGAAACTTTCAATCATAAGTGATCTCATGCCCAAACCCAAGCTCCAAGTTTAGAAAGCCAATCACAGCATGCCTGTTAATGTGTCCTACATTAAACCTGTGTTTAGTTAGTTATTATTCCGTCTTATTTCTTACTCAGTATCTTAATGCCGTGGTTTTATTCAGAATAATTACAGAACCTAATCGTTTGCAGATCACTGAACCCTTAATGTCTGCTTGCAGATAAATTAGTGACACATTTACAACGTTTAATTTGAATTAATCATTTGTAGTAGGCATTTATGAAGCTATAAACCATCGTTTCCCCACGTTTATTTTATCATCATCCATTTATCTAAAAAACGTAAACAATAGTTTGTCTTGCTATTATTTTCTGAAGAATGGCCGTCTTTGTTTCTAGCCATTTAACTTGTGCTGTTGGCTACAACTGCATACGTTTAGTTCCCTGAAAGGTATGTAATTGACCACCTGCCAATATTTCCTTATTTACAATTAAAATGAACTTGAATGACACAAAACAATCTGGAAATCTACTAAATCCTTTGGAAATGGCCCAGACTAATGGTTACTAAAGAAGTTTACTGCAAGCTGTCTGTACCCTAAATGTCTTCTCTTTTTGCAGTCAGACGGACCAGATGACATTAAACAGCTCATTTTGACAGTAAGGTTTTTTCTGCATTAAGTTGTTTACATTCAAAGCATTGGGCAAAGACTGTATTTACAAATGAAATGTTTTCTTATTGTTTTTACAGCTGCAAGACATCAGGAGCTGTGGGGTGCGGTATCCATTCGTGATAAGGCAACATCTCAGAACATGTTTCACTGCCTTCATGCATGATGTTTGCTCTTCCTTTCTTTAAAAGAAAGAAGAATAATCTGATATAATTTATATCAATAGCTTCCATCCTAATTGAGATATCCACAACAACCAACTGAAAAAAATGTGTACAGTGCCTATAGAAAATAATCAAACCCCTTTCAAATAGTTACTATAGTTATCATAGAGCCTGAAATAAAAACCAATAAAAAAAAAGGCGACAGTTCTGGATATTAATACAAAATGAAAAACTAGAATAACAGGGTTGGAAAAGTGTTTAGGAATAGAAATTCAAGAAACAGCTGGTTTTATTTATTATTTTAAGTAATACAAATCACTTCAATTGATGTCAGGTGGTGGGCAAATAGCCGGATGTTGGATCTGGAAGTTGCTCCTGAGCATATTCCTAAACTCTAAGGGACTGATGACTTATCAAAACCAGGTATTTAACTGATCAATGTTTAATAATCGTCCAGAATTTGGTCATTTTCGCTTTGATGATGAGGGTTATAATGTGTGCATACAGTTTAAAAAAGTGAATTTGTGGAACATTCAACTGTTTTCCTTGTCACATTAAAGTTTTTAATGACATCATAGTCATTGTTGATAATGGTCTGTATTGTCTCTCTATTTCCTCATCTTTCACACGTTCGCAACATGAACTGCCCAGCAAGATTACTGTCACTCAAGAGGGTAATCTGAAACTGAAACACTAATGAATTTGTACTCTGTTGTCATTATAAAAAGTATAAATCTGTGACTCTCAGGATGTGTAAGGCATGAGTATTCAGTGTTCCTTTTAAAACATTCCAAGTTTGTAACATTCCAAGTTTCACTATGACCCAGCCGTGCGGTATCCATTCGTGATAATGCAACATCTCAGAACATGTTTCACTGCCTTCATGCATGATGTTTGCTCTTCCTTTCTTTAAGAGAAAGAAAAATAATCTGATATAATTTATATCAATAGCTTCCATCCTAATTGAGATATCCACAACAACCAACTGAAAAAAATGTGTACAGTGCCTATAGAAAATAATCAAACCCCTTTCAAATAGTGACTATCATAGAGCCTGAAATATAAATCCATTAAAAAAAAATACTTTTTCCAGTTTTATTTACAAATGTAGCTTTACAACATCAAACTAATGAAAAAAGGCGACAGTTTTGGATATTAATACAAAATGAAAAACTATAATAACAGGGTTGGAAAAGTCATCAGTCCCCTGATTTAATACTTATGGCCTCCTTTTGCTGCAATTACATCCATCTATCTATTAGAATATGTCTCTACAGCTTTGCACACTAGATTGAGGAATGTTGGCCCTTTCTTCCTTTAGAATTGTTAGAGTTCAGTCAAATTCCCTGGTGAGTAGCGATGGACTGCTCTCCTCAGATTTTAAGTCAGGGCTCTGACTTGGCCACTTAAAGACATCTAGAATTGGAGGATGAAACCCTCTCTAATGGTCACACATACATGCACACACAGCACACGCAGTGACATTTGACCTCAGGTATTGTACAGCGCCTGGGGAGCAATGTGAGGGGGTGTCCTTGCTCAAGGGCACCACAGCAGGGCCCAGGAGGTGAACTGAGACCTCTCAAAGTAGCAGTCTACACTCCATATTTTAAGTCTGTTAGGGGACTTGAACCAGCGACCCTACGGCTCCCAGTCCAAGCCCCAACTGACTGAGTAGTTCTTTTGGCGGTATGTTTAGTAATAGAAACTCAAGAAACAGCTGGTTTTATTCTGAAGTAATACAAATCACTTCAATTGATGTCAGGTGGTGGGCAATTAGCCTGATGTTGGATCTGGAAGTTGCACCTGAGCATATTCCTAAACTCTAAGGGACTGATGACTTAACAAAACCAGGTATTTAACTAATCCATTTTTAATAATCGTCCAGAATTTGGTCATTTTCGCTTTGATGATGAGGGTTATAATGTGTACATACAGCTCAAAAAAGTGAATTTGTGGAACATTCAACTGTTTTCCTTGTCACATTAAAGTTTTTAATGAAATCATAGTCATTGTTGATAATGGTCTGTGTCTCTGTTTCCTCATCTTTCACACGTACGCAACATGAACTGCCCAGCAAGATTACTGTCACTCAAGAGGGTAATCTGAAACTGAAACACTAATGAATTTGTACTCTGTTGTCATTATAAAAAGTATGTCTTGGGTCTTTTCATCTGTGACTCTCAGGATGTGTAAGGCAGGAGTATTCAGTGTTCCTTTTAAAACCTTTTCTTTTTTTCTTTACATCAATTAACTGAATCAATTGAAGAAAACAAGCAGGTCTCCATGTAAATGAAGGTGTCTTTGGTGTATGTGGCCCTGACACATTTATGCGCCTATGAACAAATCCCTAAAAGCTGCCTGCATTATACATAAAATGCTCTTTAAACAAAACTCTTAATGGCTATTCCTGCCATCCTAACACAAAAGCATCATGTAGGCCCATATGCTACAGTAGCTAAAGGGATTTATTAATATTGATAAACTACGTAGGCCTATTTAAATCCATTTTGTTAATGTAATCCAATATTTTCTCAGGGGGATTTACAATCTGTGATACCCTCTGACTTGAACCTGGATATCTGTAAACAAAAAGATCCCATCCTAACCTAAATGATATTATAAATCAAGTAATCAGTTAGCTTTTTCACAGTCAGTGTCTCTGCCTCGTCGTTACAAGCATCTAGATTCTGCCTCAGTTTGTCCACAATCACTGCTAGAGCTCTGCGTTTGGTGATGGTAGATTTCCCTGGTCTGAAACCAGGAGGTCTGCTTAATACTTTTACCCTCCACATCACTGTAGCTCTAAACGGTGGGTTTGCAGCCCATGAACACATTTAAAATGCTCAGTTTTAATCAGCTCGTTTCTCAAAGCCTGTTTGTTGGCAGCGAACCAATTTTCCTCTGCATGCAGCGTCTTGTTTGTAACATTCCAAGTTTCACTATGACCCAGCCTTGTGTCAATGAGTTGATATTTTATTGAGGTTACATAAAGTGCTGCCTTCCGATACATTCGGTAATACTAACACCAAGTACCTATCCCAATCATATAGCCAAGCCTTGGCTGTAGGCACTAAAAGCTTTATTTACAAGAGATAAGATATCTTTCAGTAGGCTGCTCTCCTGGCAGGCAGAGCGACCTTTGGCTTTTTCCACTGAGGGTTGTGTCTATATTCACTTTCTAAACCATAAGCATTGAAATATAAGTGAAGTTTCTCAGTAGGATGTATCATTAGATTACTAAGGCTGTATAGGCTTATCAGTTCTGCGATTGGGAGAATCGATATAGGCTAAGTTGTCATTATTCTTTTTTTCCACACTTGAAAAGATAGGCACTTGCAAACGACAATGACAAAATTAGATGCAAGCCACTATGGCAACACTGACAAATAAATGTAAATCGTGTCTCCATTTTTTTTGAATATGGATAAAAAGCGTATACTGTGCATGCTCATTTTCCGTAACCACTACGTTGGCATGTATAATGTTCTACAGTCTGTTGCAAAAATACAAAAGGATTCAGGCATCTCTATTCATAGTGAAATAAACACTGAAGTTTAGGTGCAGTTCTTGGAAAAGGATTCAGACATGTTGGTTCAAAAATGAGTATGTTGTTCTCAGTGTAGTCGTTTTCGTGTCTTTCAGTCTGGGGGTCTCATGCAGACAAAAAAGGAATCCAGTAATCGGGAAACAAAAGACCAATACAAATGTAAGCCAATATTTGCAATGCAATGCAATGCAGTAGGCTGGACCAGCGCGATATGAGGCCCTATACGCTCTGCGCACGTGCTGTAGGGAGGGGCGCCCTGCTTCCTCTCGAGCGCGGCAGCACTGCAGTCCGTTCAAGAGAAAAGGAAAGCAAACTGTGTCTGGGAGAAAAAGTCACGGCAGTCACACATCTGTTGGTGAAAAATGGCTCAACGACAGGCTATAAAAGGCATGTTGAATAACCTGTCAAAGGAGCAATTTACCGAATTCTGCGACGAGCTTGTGAACCGCAAAGAGCAGCCGTGGGTCGCACTCAACAAGGTGGAGGGGAAAAGCGTCTTAGACATCATGAAGGTCCTGCTTTCCACTTTCAATGAGAAAGCTGTCGAAGTGGCTGCGGAGGTATTGAACGAGATTGGATGCAACGAAGCAAGAGCCAAACTGTGTGAGTAGGCTACTTCATGGTTTGATGCAGAATGAGAACAGAACTTTTTGGACTGAAGAACATTCCACCCTAAATGTCTGCTTGCAGATTAATCAGCGACAAATAACGACGTTTAATCGATGACGGTTTACTTGAAGTAGCCTTTATTCTTTTTCTACACAGTTTAGGACATTTAACCGCCTTTAGTGGGAGGGACCCGCCCGACTTCCTCTCGAGTCATTTCAGTGTATATCCGTATTTAGTTATAGGCTACAGTGTAACTCAATAAGAAATGATTTAGGCTATCAAAAAAAATAAAAACAATAACGTCCTTTTATGTAATCAAAAATATCTGTGGTTAAAAAGGTAAGCTCTTTGCATGCATTCATATCCAGACCTTTGAACCCTCCCTTGTGCTTTCATAACAATTTAATATACGAGTTAAACACGCATTAATTGAACATTATTAAACTTACAATTTAGCACTAAACGAGAATTGTGGTCTTTTTGTCTCACATGATAAACATAACAAATGCGTTAAATCAATAGTAGGCTACTCTCATGCCCAAAACCACGCTCTGAAATAGAAAACATGACCAACCTCAGGAAACCTGTATGTCAAACTGTAATTCCATCATATTACTTTCTAACGTTGTTTCCTTTGTTGTTTCAGTGGCAGCAGTTGTTGAACCTGGATCCAGTAACAGTGAGTTGATTTTTTACACAAACAAACAAACAAACATCCTTCATGTATTCAAAATGACCTTGGGTTAAAAAAATGTAGGCATGTGCACTGTGTTTTTCTGACTGAGACAGCATGTCAACATTTCTGCTGTGAAAACATCTTGATATATTTAAATAAACATGTTGTGGCTTTACATAGCCTCAACATTATTTAATAGAGCAGTTAAACACATAGTCATTTAATCGTGTTAAACTTAGGATACATTTAGCACAGACTGTGTTTTTTGTCTCTTATGATAACAATTAAAACTGTTTCAGTTTAGTTTTTACACTACTCTTTCTTCATCAGAGTCAAAATGATAAAAGGCTTAAGGCAAACATACAGTTCCTAGTAAATCTAGAACAATGTACAACTGTTGTTGGATAACTGGTTGAGCCGGTCTCTAGTCTGCATCCATCAAGTGAAATATATTAGAGGAATGTGAGTCATGTCAGCCTCTCTGCATTGAGTTGATCATTTCTCCTCCTGCTGGAGTAGTAGTGTTTAGACAAGCTCCGATTTTCAACAGCCAATCACAGCATGCAGTGTTAATGTGTCCTACATTAAACGTGTATGTGAAATTGTCCTCCGTCATATTTCGTGCTAACCATATCTGTCTATTTTTGCAGTGGAAGCTACGGGTGGACCGTCCTCAGAAAATGGATCAAGGGACAGTGAGTTGTTTATCTATCATTAGGTTTCCTTCCTTATATAAAATAGAAAAATTAGTATAGGATTCAATTTATTTCAAAAAGCGAAAAGTCTTTAGTTCACAAAACTTGAAAGCCCCACACAAAAGACAGTGGAGAGATTTGCAGGGAACATCTTCTTCAGAATTTGCAGGTTAACATTTCTCCTCAAACTGCACCCTTCACATTGACAACGACATTGACTTGACACTATGTGAATTAGGATGTACAGTGACAAAAAAAAAAGTGTGAATAAATGGTGCATGGTCATTTAAGGCTGTGATATGGACATAATCACATTTCCCAATATTTCTGGTCAAATACCTCAAAATTGTGGGGTTTATAATTACTGCTTTCCCAAAAATATGTAATGCAGTAACACATTTTGTTGACATTTTGAAAATAATAGAATACCAGTCTTATTGTTTAAGGTATTTTCTTAAACTGGCAACCAATGACAGTGCCTGTATGTAAAATGAATCTTACATTTCCACATTGATTGACCGTATTTTGCTATGTTGCTGTGTGCATGAAAAAAAAGAAGCATAAACACTAAACCTGTCCATCATTAAGCAATTTAAATGTTCCCTCAATTTGTTTCAGCTGCGAGACCCTCAGCTGGAGGGACAGCTCAATACACCATGGTAGACGGTGGGTGAACACCTGATTTTGGTTTGTGATCCCCGTGGATCAGTCACTAATCAGATTTTACTAGCAACCCAGACTCTGACTATAAAACATACATGCTAATTTACTTCATGATGAATATTTAGAAAAGGCTTTACTTGTTCTAAATAAAGTCTAGGCTAAAGACCAATGTAAGAAACGGATAAGTGCTGCATTGTTTTTAAACAAATAATTTGACACTTTGGAGAAATATTATTTTTTGGTTCTTTCTTTGCCTTATACGAAAAGAAAGATAACACTCTGATGTTGAGACATTTCAACCTTTTTTTCTCATTCTTGGCAAGACAATCAATATTTGCATGTCCCATCATCAAAGCGTAAGATGTGGGCGGTCTATTTAATTGCATTTGGAGAAAACAAGTTTGTAATTGTTAGAAGAAGACCTTATTATTTCAGGTGTGCTTCGTTGGCAAAATTATCAATCCACTATTCCCAAAAATAATTAACAATTTCTCTAAAACACAGAATATGCATCAGGTTTGTGTAGTTATCCCAAATTATTAAACCAACCTTCCACGGACCCACACGCAGTTAAACTAATGCAATACACATACATTGAAAATAAACAAGTCACTGTTATAGAAAATAAAATATTAGTTGGCTTCATGGTATCATCAACACTTTACTCATTATTCCCTCCTTCCTCAGGTGAGCACTTTGTGGATAAACATAGAATCGAGCTGATCAACAGAGTGCACTGCGTTGCAGACATTTTGGATAAGCTCCTTCAGGAAAAAGTCATCACACCATCGATTTATGATGAAATCATGGCAATCCAGACCACTCAGAAGCAGATGAGGGAACTCTTCAGTGGTCCCCTGAAGGCAGTAGGGCTTCGTGGCAAAGAAGTCTTCTACAGAATCCTTGCGAAAGAGGAGGAATATCTCATTGAAGAGCTAAAGGGAAAAAAGTGAATGTTGTAGAGAAATCATTTTTTAGACTAAACGTACATTGTGCCTCAAGAAAGAAAACGTCTAAAACGATTACAATGGGGAAATAGTCATGTAAATGTCTCTGTAGGGGGTTCTATCAAATATAGCTTTTGCACCTTCATGTTTAATCATAGCTCTTGCCCTTTTTTTACACTTGGACCAGTCATATTTTATAAAATGTACACGTTTTCCTGTAAGGTTAAAACCAGATTCAGCAAACCATGTAAGTCATTCATGTAATGTAATGATGTAAGAAATGATTTAGCGTTCTCACCTGACATGTAATGTTTTAATCCAGCAAATCCCAGATGGATTGAGTCTGCTTTTAACCTATTTTTTATAAATTAAAGGATGCTTGATCATGAATGATTATCCTTAGGTTTTGCATGCAGATTTTAATTTTTAATTATTGTCTTATGTGCTAAACGATTCTATTGTTGTTTTTTCCCTCGTGAAAATACGTTTACTTTTGGAGGCCAATGTTTTCTATTTTGAAATACATTTTCAATAAACTCTTATAAATATTACACATGTCGAGTGAATAGAGTGTTTTAAAAGTTGATCAGACATAATGATGTAATGAAGTTAGCAGATTTAGGAACGTCGCTTTCCTCCTAGATTTTTAAAAATGTTTGCATATTATTCTTATCATTTATTAAACTGATTGTTCAGAGGGGTACTGGAAGAAGGTAGTATTCTTTTGACGTTATCCACAAACGTTGCTTTATTAACCAACCTCAATTTGTATGAACTAATTGTTTAGCCTTACCTTCTTGTATGTTTGGATGAAGCGAGGCATGACTTTACTTGGTTATGAAAGTACAGTTTATACATTTAAAGGGGATCTGCAGCAATGTTTAGATCTGTTTAGGAGTCTTGTAAAGTAGCTGCCGCATGAGTAAAAAAAGTTATATAAAGCCTTTTGTGGCTCTAGAGGGAGCTGTCTGATAGATAATGCCTGTTGGAGTTCAATACTACACATTTGGAAATGTTATGTGTTTGTGTTATGTTAGATTTTCTCATTTCAGTTGTTAATTCATGTGTGGGATGTAGGTCATGAAATAATTGTTTCTCTCTCAGGAATTCAATCAGATATACAGTGTCTATAACAAGGTGGGATGCGACATTTCTTTTGAGTTACACCTGCTTTTTTAAGGATTAATTTTAAAGTGTGTTGATCCCCTCTGAAGTGATGCTGTATTACACTCCTGTTACCACATGGGGCTCTGAACCCGTCCCTCCAGCCTCACCACTGCACCCCCAGATGTTATATAAGCAAAAGTGAAGCTATGTATGGACTGAATTAAATACATAATATCCTCTTTACTGTATATACAGCACTTTTAAAAACAAAGTTACATGTGCTTCACATAGATAAAGCTTAATAAAAAGCCCAACCATAATATTAATAAAACAAATAATAGAGCAGATATAGGACATATTGGAAATAAAATATTAGCATTAATAAAACAAAATAAAAAGCAGTTTAAACAGATCATTGCTAAAGAGTATTTTAAAGAATGTCACTGACTGTCACACTCAGTCGTCACACAGGCATGTCATATTAATGTCAATTTTTATACTCACGGCTACACAGTAATGGTACTTCATCATAGCACTTGTGGGAGTCTAACTGTACTGATTCCTACAGTATCAATATCTTTAAGAATGTATGGCAGAATGTTTTTTCATCCCTCATAATTTAATATCATTTTTATTGTTAAAAGATAGGCCAGTTCAACAATGTTCAGGAAAAAGGGCGGTGGTTTGAGCAGTAAAGAGAACCACGTCACTTCAGAGAAAAGGACACACACGTTTAACTTGGGCTTCAGGAAACTGAACGAGAGGTAGAAATGTGGCGGGAGTTTAAAGATACTGAAAGATATTGAGAACCTGTTGGAAGCAGACTGAGGGAGAAAGAGAGAAACACCCGGTGAGTTTTATCTCTACGTGCAGCACGAACAGGTTTAAACGTTCACGAGACAGGCTTTACGGCCATCTCGTGTCCCGCAGTTAATGCACATTAATGGAAGGATTTCAACTCCAACAACTAATGCCACAAGGTAGAATAGAAGTCACAACGTTTGTCCGGCGCTTTTTTTTTTTTGCTTTCACTTTAACATTTCTGCCTTTTCTTTGCACTAATGGCATGTAAAATGGACATTTTGGTTATATTATTCTGTCACTACACATTCACTTAATAACTGCCTCTTTTTAGGGTTTCGTTTCTTGCCGTCTAGTTTTCAAAATATGTCTGAAACTGTTATGGCAGGTTTCATGATATAGAAAATTACATGAAAGGCTACTTTTAGTATTGTGGAGTTTGTGCTGCGTGGAAATCCTTTTCCTGGGCTGTAAAGCGTTTTAACCTATAGTTCTAAAAGTTAGCTGATGTATAGCAGGTTAGCATGGATTCAATCTAGATTGTTAAACTACATTTTAAAGCGATATCGATTCATTTTGAAGGGTTTTGCTGCTTTCATTGTTGCTTTTAAATCATGAGTGAATTACAAAATGATACATTTTATTTTTGGTGCCAGATTATGATGAAAAAAAATAGACCAATATATTTACTATGGGTGTTGTTTTTCTCCCTGTCAGATTCAGCATGGCAGCCAACGCTATTTTGATAAGTAATAAGACACCCATTGTGGAAACTTTGTGTGCAGACTACACGCTAATCCTCAACAAAGCTGTTCAGAACGAGTTGATAACTCAACGTGAGTACAAAAATCTGAAAAGCATCAACAAACTAAATGCAGAGGGCCACGTTGTGGAGTTGTTGGATACGATCATGGACAAAGGAGAGAAGACCTGCTTAGCCTTCCTGAACCTCCTGCAAACCGATGAGGAGATCCAGAAGACTTACCCTGAGCTGAATAACATACTGAAGAAGGAAAACTGTCCCTTACCATACCCGGTTCAGGCTTGTTCAGTTGACAACACCGGTACGTTAACATCATGATTAACATGCATACAAATGACTAATACGCATGCCAAATTAGTGTTACTGTGAAGTTGACATTTTAAAATGTTGAACCCTCCCTTGTGCTTTCATAACAATTTAATATACGAGTTAAACACGCATTAATTGAACATTATTAAACTTACAATTTAGCACTAAACGAGAACTGTGGACTTTGTCTCACATGATAAACATAAAAAAATGCGTTAAATCATTAGGACTCTCATGCCCAAAACCAAGCTCTGAAATTAGAAAACATGACAAACCTCAGGAAACGTGTGTCAAACTGTAATTCCATCATATTACTTTCTAACGTTGTTTTCTTTACATTTAGCCTCAAAACTATTTAATAGAGCAGTTAAACACATAGTCATTTAATCGTGTTAAACTTAGGATACATTTAGCACAGACTGTGTTTTTTGTCCCTTATGATAACAATTAAAACTGTTTCAGTTTAGTTTTGACACTACTCTATCTTCATCAGAGTCAAAATGATAAAAGGCTTAAGGCAAACATACAGTTCCTAGTAAATCTAGAACAATGTACAACTGTTGTTGGATAACTGGTTGAGCCGGTCTCTAGTCTACATCCATCAAGTGAAATATATTAGAGGAATATGAGTCATGTCAGCCTCTCTGCATTGAGTTGATCATTTCTCCTCCTGCTGGAGTAGTAGTGTTTAGACAAGCTCCCATTTTAAACAGCCAATCACAGCATGCAGTGTTAATGTGTCCTACATTAAACGTGTATGTCAAATTGTCCTCCGTCATATTTCGTGCTAACCATATCTGTCTATTGTCAGGGAACATCTTCTTCAGAATTTGCAGGTTAACATTTTTCCTCAAACTGCACCCTTCACATTGACAACGACATTGACTTGACACTATGTGAATTTGGATGTACAGTGACAAAAAAAAAGTGTGAATAAATGGTGCATGGTCATTTAAGGCTGTGATATGGACATAATCACATTTCCCAATATTTCTGGTCAAATACCTCAAAATTGTAGGGTTTATAATTACTGCTTTCCCAAAAATATGTAATGCAGTAACACATTTTGAAAATAATAGAATACCAGTCTTATTGTTTAAGGTATTTTCTTAAACTGGCAACCAATGACAGTGCCTGTATGTAAAATGAATCTTACATTTCCACATTGATTGACCATATTTTGCTATGTTGCTGTGTGCATGAAAAAAAAAGCATAAACACTAAACCTGTCCATCATTAAGCAATTTAAATGTTCCCTCAATTTGTTTCAGCTGCGAGACCCTCAGCTGGAGGGACAGCTCAATACACCATGGTAGACGGTGGGTGAACACCTGATTTTGGTTTGTGATCCCCGTGGATCAGTCACTAATCAGATTTTACTAGCAACCCAGACTCTGACTATAAAACATACATGCTAATTTACTTCATGATGAATATTTAGAAAAGGCTTTACTTGTTCTAAATAAAGTCTAGGCTATAGACCAATGTAAGAAACGATTGCTGCATTGTTGTTAAACAAATAATTTGACACTTTGGGAAAATATTCTTTTTTGGTTCTTTCTTTGCCTTATACGAAAAGAAAGATAACACTGATGTTGAGACATTTCAACCTTTTTTTCTCATTCTTGGCAAGAAAATCAACATTTGCATGTCCCATCATCAAAGCAGAAGATGTGAGAGGTTTATTTAATTGCATTTGGAGAAAACAAGTTTGTAATTGTTAGAAGAAGACCTTATTTGTTCAGATGTGCTTCAATGGCAAAATTATCAATCCACTATTCCCAAAAATAATTAACAATTTCTCTAAAACACAGAATATGCATCAGGTTTGTGTAGTTATCCCAAATTATTAAACCAACCTTCCACGGACCCACATGCAGTTAAACTAATGCAATACACATACATTGACAATAAAGAAGTCACTGTTATAGAAAATAAAATATTAGTTTAGAAATGTATCAAGTTGGCTTCATGGTATCATCATCAACACTTTACTCATTATTCCCTCCTTCCTCAGGTAAGCACTTTGTGGATAAACATAGAATCAAGCTGACCGACAGAGTGAACTCCGTTGGAAACATTTTGGATCAGCTCCTTGAGGAAGAAGTCATCCAACAAGCGATTTATGATACAATCAGGAAAATCCCAACCAAACAGGAGCAGATGAGAGAACTCTTCAGTGGTCCCCTGAATGCAGCAGGGCTTTGTGGCAAAGAAGTCTTCTACAGAATCCTTGAGAAAGAGGAGAAATATCTCATTGAGGAGCTAAAGGGAAAGAAGTGAATGTTGTGGAGAAATCATTTTTTAGACTAAAAAGAAAAAAGCGTCTTAAACGATTCCAATGGGGAAATAGTAATGTAAATGTCTCTGTAGGGGCATATTCCTAAACTCTAAGGGACTGATGACTTAACAAAACCAGGTATTTAACTAATCCATGTTTAATAATCGTCCAGAATTTGGTCATTTTCGCTTTGATGATGAGGGTTATAATGTGTACATACAGTTTAAAAAAGTGAATTTGTGGAACATTCAACTGTTTTCCTTGTCACATTAAAGTTTTTAATGACATCATAGTCATTGTTGATAATGGTCTGTGTCTCTATTTCCTCATCTTTCACACGTTCGCAACATGAACTACCCAGCAAGATTACTGTCACTCAAGAGGGTAATCTGAAACTGAAACACTAATGAATTTGTACTCTGTTGTCATTATAAAAAGTATGTCTTGGGTCTTTTCATCTGTGACTCTCAGGATGTGTAAGGCAGGAGTATTCAGTGTTCCTTTTAAAACCTTTTCTTTTTTCTTTACATCAATTAACTGAATCAATTGAAGAAAACAAGCAGGTCTCCATGTAAATGAAGGTGTCTTTGGTGTATGAGGCCCTGGCACATGTATGCGCCTATACATGAACAAATCCCTAAAAAGCCGCCTGCATTATACATAAAATGCTCTTTAAACAAAACTCTTAATGGCTATTCCTGCCATTATAACACAAAAGCATCATGTAGGCTCATATGCTACAGTAGCTAAAGGGATTTATTAATATTGATAAACTACGTAGGCCTATTTAAATCCATTTTGTTAATGTAATCCAGTCAGGGGGATTTACAATCTGTGATACCCTCTGACTTGAACCTGGATATCTGTAAACAAAAAGATCCCATCCTAACCTAAATTATATTATAAATCAAGTCATCAGTTAGCTTTTTCACAGTCAGTGTCTGCCTCGTCTACAGGCATCTAGATTCTGCCTCAGTTTGTCCACAATCACTGCTAGAGCTCTGCGTTTGGTGATGGTAGATTTCCCTGGTCTGAAACCAGGAGGTCTGCTTAATACTTTTACCCTCCACATCACTGTAGCTCTAAACGGTGGGTTTGCAGCCCATGAACACATTTAAAAAGCTCAGTTTTAATCAGCTCGTTTCTCAAAGCCTGTTTGTTGGCAGCGAACCAATTTTCCTCTGCATGCAGCGTCTTGTTTGTAACATTCCAAGTTTGTAACATTCCAAGTTTGTAACATTCCAAGTTTGTAACATTCCAAGTTTGTAACATTCCAAGTTTCACTATGACCCAGCCGTGCGGTATCCATTCGTGATAATGCAACATCTCAGAACATGTTTCACTGCCTTCATGCATGATGTTTGCTCTTCCTTTCTTTAAGAGAAAGAAAAATAATCTGATATAATTTATATCAATAGCTTCCATCCTAATTGAGATATCCACAACAACCAACTGAAAAAAATGTGTACAGTGCCTATAGAAAATAATCAAACCCCTTTCAAATAGTGACTATCATATAGCCTGAAATATAAATCCATTAAAAAAAAATACTTTTTCCAGTTTTATTTACAAATGTAGCTTTACAACATCAAACTAATGAAAAAAGGCGACAGTTTTGGATATTAATACAAAATGAAAAACTATAATAACAGGGTTGGAAAAGTCATCAGTCCCCTGATTTAATACTTATGGCCTCCTTTTGCTGCAATTACATCCATCTATCTATTTGAATATGTCTCTACAGCTTTGCACACTAGATTGAGGAATGTTGGCCCTTTCTTCCTTTAGAATTGTTAGAGTTCAGTCAAATTCCCTGGTGAGTGGCGATGGACTGCTCTCCTCAGATTTTAAGTCAGGGCTCTGACTTGGCCACTTAAAGACATCTAGAAATGGAGGATGAAACCCTCTCTAATGGTCACACATACATGCACACACAGCACACACAGTGACATTTGACCTCAGGTATTGTACAGCGCCTGGGGAGCAATGTGAGGGGGTGTCCTTGCTCAAGGGCACCACAGCAGGGCCCAGGAGGTGAACTGAGACCTCTCAAAGTAGCAGTCTACACTCCACATTTGAAGTCTGTTAGGGGACAAATGGCAAAATTATCAATCCACTATTCCCAAAAATAATTAACAATTTCTCTAAAACACAGAATATGCATCAGGTTTGTGTAGTTATCCCAAATTATTAAACCAACCTTCCACGGACCCACATGCAGTTAAACTAATGCAATACACATACATTGAAAATAAACAAGTCACTGTTATAGAAAATAAAATATTAGTTGGCTTCATGGTATCATCAACACTTTACTCATTATTCCCTCCTTCCTCAGATGAGCACTTTGTGGATAAACATAGAAATGAGCTGATCAACAGAGTGAACTGCGTTGCAGACATTTTGGATAAGCTCCTTGAGGAAAAAGTCATCCAACAAGCGATTTATGATAAAATCAGGAAAATCCCAACCAATCAGGAGCAGATGAGGGAACTCTTCAGTGGTCCCCTGAATGCAGCAGGGCCTCGTGGCAAAGAAGTCTTCTACAGAATCCTTGAGAAAGAGGAGAAATATCTCATTGAGGAGCTAAAGGGAAAGAAGTGAATGTTGTGGAGAAATCATTTTTTAGACTAAAAAGAAAAAAGCGTCTTAAACGATTCCAATGGGGAAATAGTCATGTAAATGTCTCTGTAGGGGGTTCTATAAAATATAGCAGATTTTATCTTACATTTTTGTGCTAAACGATTCTGTTGTTGTTTTTTCCCTCATGAAAATATGTTTACTTTTGGAGGCCAATGTTTTCTATTTCGAAATACATTTTCAATAAACTCTTATAAATATTACACATGTCGAGTGAATAGAGTGTTTTAAAAGTTGAAGCAGACATAATGATGTAATGAAGTTAACAGATTTAGGAACGTCGCTTTCCTCCTAGAATTAAAAAAATGTGAACATATTATTATCATTTATTAAACTGATTGTTCAGAGGGATACTGGAAGAAGGTAGTATTCTTTTGACATTATCCACAAACGTTGCTTTATTAACCAACCTCAATGTGTATGAACTAATTGTTTAGCCTTACCTTCTTGTATGTTTGGATGAAGCGAGGCATGACTTTACTTGGTGATGAAAGTACAGTTTATACATTTAAAGGGGAACTGCAGCAATGTTTAGATATCCAGTCTGTTTAGGAGTCTTGTAAAGTAGCTGCCGCATGAGTAAAACAAGTTATACAAAGCCTTATGTGGCTCTAGAGGGAGCTGTCTGATAGATAATGCCTGTTGGAGTTCAATACTACACATTTGGAAATGTTATGTGTTTGTAATATGTTTGATTTTCTCATTTCAGTTGTAAATTAATGTGTGGGATGTTTTATTTAATTTTTTTATTTAATCGTTTATTTGGCAGGGACAATGCACAGTAATGAACACTTAAAACATTCAAATGTGTCAAGCGTAACAGTGCCAGATTTAGCTTTGAGCTAATTTCCATCCGCAGTCCCTCACATAAAACATTTAAGAAAATTACATTTTACAAACATAGCAAAAACAAAATACATGATATGCAAAAAGTGCAAAAGAGCAAGAGCAGCATACACAAGTATTTATCACATGGTAATACAATATAGCAGCTACGACATATAAAGTGCAAGAAAAGATAAAAGTGCTAGATAAAGTGCAAGAGGAGATACCCCTGTGTTAAAGTGCATTTAGCGGTGATTGCACGTCTGTTTGTTTCTCAACCATTCTTAGAGTTGACCTTTAAAGCTATTGAGAGTGGGACAATCCCGTATCTCAGTTGGGAGGCTATTCCAGAATGAGCTGCCTTTAACGGAGAGGACATTTTGTCCAAAAGTGGTCCGTCTACGGTGGACTTCACAGACTCCTCTCGTTTCTGACCTAGTGCAGCGTCCAGTGTGTTTTGTGGATGAATTCCCCTAAGGGAGGGGGGGCCAGTCCATGTAAACATTTATTAAAAAAACATACTTTTAAAAGACTTTAAATTGTCAAAACTCAAGAAATTGTGTTTTTCAAGGATGGTACAGTGGTGGCATGAATTTGGCTTTCTGTCAAACACCTTGATAGCTCTCTTGTACAGCTGTTCTATGGGTTTCAGGTTTGTGGCACAAGCAAACGACCAGTTTGTAAAACAGTATTCAATGTGGGATAGAATCATACAGTGGAGGTATGACTTTGCAGCATTGACAGTTAAGAAAGGTCTGATTTGTTTAAAATGTTGCAAGTTGAATTGAACGGTATTGGATACTTTCTTAATATGTTTCTTAAAAGTCAAGTTCGAGTCCAGTATGACTCCAAGATCTAGGTCATGAAATGCTTTTTAAGGATTCATTTTAAAGTGTGTTATTCCCCTCTGAAGTGATGATTACACTCCAGTCGAACCCGTCCCTCCAGCCTCACCACTGCACCCCCAGATGTTATATAAGCAAAAATGCAGCTATGTAATGTCTGTGTGACAACTGAGTCTGGCAGAGTCAGTGACATTCTTTAAAATACTGGTAAGAATGTATCTGTTTAAAACAGCTTTTTATTTTGTTTTATACGGTCCTGAGTCCTGGATCGCGAGCCCTGGATCTTGAGTCGTGGCTGTGCCTATTGCTGTGGTCCTGGATCATAAGTCCTGGATGGATATCCTCGTGGATTCATCTTCTTATTAGACACATGCATTTCCAAACATTTGGACTACCTATGTTGCAAATGTATCATCTTTTCAATTTACACACGGCATCTATTGCACGTCTGTCCGTCCTGGGAGAGGGATCCCTCCTCTGTTGCTCTCCCTGAGGTTTCTCCCATTTTCCCCTTTAAACTGTGGGTTTTTCTCTGGAAGTTTTTCCTTGTACGATGTGAGGGTCTAAGGACAGAGGGTGTCGTATTGTCATACTGATATTCTGTACAAACTGTGAAGTCCACTAAGACAAATGTAACATTTGTGATATTGGGCTATATAAATAAACATTGATTGATTGATTGATTGATTATATACCATTTTATTTCCAATATGTCCTTTCTGCTCTATTATTTTTGTCATTTGTTTTATTAATATTATGGTTGGGCTTTTTATTAAGCTTTGTCTATGTAAAGCACATGTAACTTTGTTTTTAAAAGTGCTGTAAGTGCATATTATATATGTGCTGGTTAAATTCAGTCCACAATAGCTCTTCTTTAATATAGGAGTTCACGGCTTCGGCATGAAAGACAACTCTGCCTGTTTTAAACTTTATGTTGAGTATGATAAATATTGTGAGTCTATAATTGTTTTCTATTGTTTTAATTTTGTCAGAGGAGTACTCACAAGATACACAGTAATGGTTCTTCATAGCACTTGTGGGAGTAGTCTAACTGTACTGATTCCTACAGTATCAATATCTTTAAGAATGTATGGCAGAATGTTTTTTCACCCCTCATAATTTAATATCATTTTTATTGTTAGGGCGGTGGTTTGAGCAGTAAAGAGATAAGAGAACCACGTGACTTCAGAGAAAAGGACACGCACGTTTAACTTCCTCTTCTGCAAACTGAACGAGGGGTAGAAATGTGGCGTGATTTAAACGTTGTCTCTGTTTTCATAAAGTTTAAAGATACTGAAAGATATTGAGAACCTGTAGGAAGCAGACTGAGGGAGAAAGAGAGAAACATCCGGTGAGTTTTATCTCTACGTGCAGCACGAACAGGTTTAACGTTCACGAGACAGATCACGGCCAGCTCGTGTCCCGCAGTTATTGAACATTAATGGAAGGATCTCAACTCCAACGTTTTGCTTTCACTTTAACCTTTCTGCGTTTTCTTTGCACTAATGACATGTAAAATGGACATGTTGGTTATACTATTCAGTCACAACACATTCACTTCATAACTGTCTCACTGACACATCTCTTACGCTTCTGTTTTTTTAGGGTTTCAATTTCCTGCCGTCTAGTTTTACAAAATAGTGTCTGAAACTGTTATGGCAGGTTTCATGTGTTAGAAAATGACAAAAATGCTACTTTTAGTATTGTGGAGTTTGTGCTGCGTGGAAATGACCATTTCCTGGGCTGTAAAGCTTTTAACCTATAAATACATGGATTAAAAAAGCAGTTTTTAATTGGAGAATTAGTACTTGTTTGAGCCATTTTTAAATAACAAAATGGCAAACAATCTGTTGTGTCAGCTTCTCAAATGATTTCCTAAATAATTTTATATCATTGGAAATTGAGCCTCTTTAGATTTGGACTGAATTAGCTCAACATTGTTCGTTAAGCTTCCACAATTGATTTTAACCTTTCATGATTTCTCAAAGCTGTGCATGAGATGTTCTTAAAGAGCCTTTCACTTTACTTGTAGCTTTTACTTGTCATTGGCTTTATTGTCTGTTTCTGATTCACACATGTATTCATAGTACTTGTTTTCTTGGGCTGAACATTTGGAGTTGTCATTTAACCGAGCCTCACAATGTGTAGTGTAGCCTAAGCTAGTTTTAATTGTTCATTTCTTAGTGTGGGGACCGTTAAAGAAAGAGAGCATTTTGTTTCTCTTTCCTAAATGTATAGGAGACAACAGAGGTATGTGTAAAGTCTAACAACAATACATTTTGTTAACAGCACCTTGATCCTCGGCAGCACCTGATCTAAACACAATGGAGGAAGGTGTGCACAGGTATTACGGTATGTACACAGTCTGTTAGTTTGAGTTAAGGTTGGCTACAACAAGCCGAGTTTAATAGTAGAATCTGACTGGAAAACGTATTTCCTTCTGTTTCATCATTTAGGAAATTCTTCACTCGACTTACACAATAGCATATTGTCGACTAATCAGTTAGTTTGGTTATTGGGTTGTTTTTACCGGACCCCGGATCTGTAAAACTTAATTTTCCTCACAAAGAATCATGCAGAATCACCACATTAAACTTGTATTTACCAGAGATGTGCTCCTCAGTTTCTTAGAAGTAATTCATTCAGAGTAAAAGGTAATTTTCCAGTTTTGTAATATTAGATGAATTTGAGGTTTTACACATTTTTATTAAATATATCGTGATGCATATTATCGCTAACCACTTTGCCTTTTCTTTCCTCAGTGCTATTTGTGGATAAACATCGATTAGCACTAGTCCAGAGAGTAAAAAACATTGAACCGATTCTGGATGGACTGCTCTCATATAAAGTTATCAATAGAGAGAATTATGAGGAAATCCTATCCCTCCATGGCCCTCAGGAGAAGATGAGGTCTCTCCTAAGAGGGCCTTTGAGAGTCTGTGGACCTGGAGGAAAAGAGATATTCTACAAACTGCTGAGAGAACATGAGTCAGATCTCCTCGATGACCTTGCTGATGAGTCTGAGAAATATAAGAAGAATAAGAAAGACATGGAGGTGAGTACATATTTAATTAGGAAAAGGATTTTAATTAAAGTTTTGATATCATATGGTGGGCCGCTCATATAATCACTGCTTTTGAGATGCAATTGGTGTATGCAATAGAAAACATTTTAAACTTAAAGTTATATAAATAAAATATTAATGAATGCACTCTAAGCCAAACAATTAAAACAGCATCAGTTATCTTAACTCACCTTGATCTGGCAAATGTTTCTGAAATCGACGAGGAAATCCTTCACTGAGAAACAATATTCTGTAACCTGATATTTTCAATCATGATTTAAAATGATTGACAACATTTCAAATAATTTACTAACCAATTGGGCCCTGTGTGGAAGAATGGGTTTTCCTTAACCAAACAACAATTTATTTAGATTTGGGACAAACATCCACTTGAGTACAAAAATAAACTGATTTTGAATTTGGTGGAAAAAAAACATGGGATTAAAATGATTAATGATAAAGATATGACATTTTGGACCGCTATGGATGTAAACTGACACTGTTGTGGAGGCATACAACCGCAATACAGTAAATCGAGTTTTGAATATACAATCTAAAAGTTCATCTTGGTGATAGAAATAAGAAGAGACTCAGTCTCCAATCTTGGATGTGAATCACACACATAACCAACATCCTATCCTGCATACACTATAAGATATCTCCTTTAAACTTTACAGGTAGAAAGCATGGGGGCTCAGAAGAGACTTCTTGAAACATTGAATGATTTGAGTTCAGATGAGTTTAACCAATTCAAGTCACTCATTGAATTAGAGGAAAGTTTCCCACGGATCCTAAGGGGTCGACTCAAAGTGGCAAACACAGATGAAACGGTGGATCTGATGGTGAAGACGTTCAGCGGAAAGTGTGTGAATATGAACAAAACGGTTTTAAAGAAGATGAACAGGACTGATCTGGTGCAGAGATTGTCAGACATCAGCTCAGGAACCAAAGGTAAGAGAAAACAGACAGAAATATGTATATTCCGATACCAAATGTATCTTAAGCCATTGAACAGTGTTAGAATATATTTAAGTGGATATATAAATAATTATATTGTCACTGTTGAGGAGGTTAGTGTGTCACATTGGGATGAAATAAATGAAATGGGCCTTTTTCCTTTTTTTTTTTATCTTCAGAGGAACCGCTTCCTTCTCTGATCCAGAGCGTGAGTAATGTCCCATCAATTTCACACAGTGATCTTTGACTCAGTAGATTAAGAAGACTGTTAATAATCTTCATCCTGAACTTCATTTTTTTGTCCCAGATAGTTTTCATAAAGAAATAATCTGATCATGCCAAATTAGGTACACATCCTGTACGTTCTTAGCCATTAATGTTATCTATATAGTATTTGTTCAAATACAACAAAAAAGATGAAACTGGTTAAACATCGACTGTGTTGTAAAATCAAGAGGCTTATCGCAGTTTTTCTACCACAGCCTTTGAAAGAGTTACCCAGGAGGTCAAATAAAGTCATGATTCAAACACCCAATTTATTTAAAAAAAAGGTTTTATGATGAACAATATAAAGTGTACTGATACGTTGTGCGTGAGATACCTGATGTTCTCTTACCACATCCACTCTTGTAAAACACTGAAACTGACGAGATGTAAACCAAAATAATCTGTAATCATTCCAGCTGAGAAATTGCTCTTTTGTCCCATTAACATCTCCTTTGATTTTACCAGGTGGAAATGATGGCGTCTGTCATAGAGCTGCTTCTGGAAACACTGAAAGATTTGAGTGACCAGGATTTACAGAGGTTCCAGAGGGTCCTGAATAAAATTCAGTCTGACAAAGACTACCCACACATCTCACCAAGGTGGCTCATGATGAGTGACAGGCAGGACATGGTGTTTTCTTTGGTGCGAGATCACGGCCAGCAGTCTGTGGAGATGACCCAACATATTTTTAGTAGGATTCGGAGGACTGATCTGGTGCAGAGGCTGTCACAAAGCAGCTCAGGACCCAAAAGTAAGACAAATAAAACACAAACATCTTTAAATCATCAAACCTGTTTATCCTAAGTTAATAAGCTCTGTATTGTTCTTTTTAAGTTATAATTAAAGATGAAACATAGATGTCTTATGCATTTATATCCTAGTGTACAAAATATGTTTTATGTCTAATGTCTAGGGTAAAATGAATTGAGTTGGTTTGTTTCACCTCTTTGCTCTTCAGAGAAACACTCAGAGGCACAGCGACCTGCAGTGATCCAGAAAGTAAGTAATGTCACATCTGTCTGACTTTCTACAACACACCTTTCCTTCAACAGATAATGATATGACCCAAACACATGATCGACTTATCTATGATGGTCTGTCTGTCTGTCTGTCTGTCTGTCTGTCTGTCTGTCTGTCTGTCTGTCTGTCTGTCTGTCTGTCTGTCTGTCTGTCTGTCTGTCTGTCTGTCTGTCAAAACCCAACAACAACTAACCAGTTTATAAGAGTTAAAGGGAAAACATTAACAGTGATGAGATGCAAATAGACACATTTGTAATCATCCAAGAGGAATATACACATGTCTGATGAATGTATTGATTATTTCAGGTAGCAACAATGGCAGCTGTTAAACATCTGCTTTTGGAAACTCTGAATGATTTGAGAAACGAGGATCTTGAGAAATTCAAGCAGTCCCTGGATTTAATTGTTACCATGAACAAACAAATAAACATGTCATGGGAATGGAGATCCTCAACAGGCAGAGCACAAACAGTGGAACAGATCATTCAGATCTTCGGCCAACAGTGTGTAGAGATAACCATGGAGGTTTTGAAGGACATTAAAAGGACTGATCTGATGCAGAGGTTTACAAAGCCCAGCTCAGAACTCAAAGGTAAGACAAAGAAAAAAACAAAACGTTTCATCACATATATTTTATAAATCATAATGAAAAAGTAATTGTCTAACCTCTGTGTCATCATCAATGTGAAATATAAAAAAAATTGGCACAGGAATCAATGCAAACATTAAAGAAATATTAAAATACCAACAGACCAGACTCTCAACAAGAAACAGAATGTTTTACGTTTAAGTAGTTTAGTTTTTGTTGCTGGGATCTGGGGCCTCATTTATAAAGCCTTGCGTAGGATTCACGTGGGAAGGTTGCTTACGTAGGACAAAGCAAATAAATACGCACCGACACTTTCCGATTCATAAAAGACTGCGTACCGGCACAGGACTTGCGTACGGCACATCCTACGCTGGTTTCCCTTTATAAATCACAATCAACTCGAAATGCGGCGCAGCTTTATTTTTTTGTATTTGGTGGTTTGTGTTCCAGCTGTCGATCAGCAACTATATATCCATAATCCACCAGTTAAAGGAAATACAACTAATGCGTTGTGTTATATTAGCTGTACAATTTACCACATATGGTGTTCTTAGTTTCCATACCTCCTGTGTTTTACGAGCGACTTATCAAGTAGGCTATTGGCGAACGGCATAAAACATGATTAAAAATGATAGTATATAAAACCATGCTCGTATCTATACAACCTATAGAAATGCAAAACGGCCTCAGTTTAAAGTAATTCTGTCCTTCTGTTTACCGCATCATTTATGAGAATACATTTCTTAACAAGAGAACATAATCGAGGGGTGATCAATAACATTTCCGTATTTATTTATTTCTCCAAATTATGTTTTTGTGTGCACTGAGGAGTCGCAAACAGGCGTTTGTTTAATCATTTTAAGATTGGGTTTAATCAATTTGTGAAAATGAATTCTTCAGATATGATAAATGAGAGGTAACATTTTATTTATGGTATTATTTCCACATATTTCTCTCCATTCTTCCTTCTGCCAACGGTGTCGCAGTTTCTCGTCTCTCCCGTTTTGTGCTTAGTGCGTACGCATGGGTCAGAGTTTGCGTGGAGGACCACACTTTCCCGCCAAGTTAGTTTTTTATAAATCGCAAACAGTGCGTAGAAACTGCCGTACGCCATCTTTTGTGCGTACGCACCGTTTATAAATGAGGCCCCTGGTGTGTTAGTCATTCACTTTATTTTCTCTCTTCAGAGATGTACTCTGTGGATGAACATCGACCTGCACAGTCCGAGGGAGTGAGTCTGACTTTACACATCACAGCTTTCATTCAATAGATGCAAGTTGTTAACCATATCCATCTTGAACATAAAAAGGATGATGCAAACCTGTTGTGTCTCGTCAAATGTGTTAGTTATGTTATGTATTACGTCTGTCATTCATGTTTTTTCACGTCTAGTCATGTCTGTTTATATTAGGTCATTTCATCTTTAGTCAATCTCTGTGTTTATTGTCATGTCTCATTTTCCATTTCCTGTTTTATTTTGTGCTTACCTCTTGTCTTTTATTTCAGGCCCTGTTTCTTCCTCCCCTTGTGTGTTTTTCCCGCCATCGTCAGCGTCTGCCACGCCCCTGATTGTTTCCACCTGTTCCCACTCACCTCATGTTTAAATAGTCCTGTCTTCCCCTGTCCTGTGTCAGTTCGTCTTGTTTGTTTCCCCGAATGGTCGTGCCAAGCCTCAGCTCAGAAAGGATCGCTTTCACTCATGTCAGGTTTTGTTATTTTGTTTATTTTGTTGGCTTAAGTTTTTATTAAGTCCTCTTTTTGCTATGCTAGTTTTTTTTCTCCTTGTGAGCGCCTTTTGTTATTTCCACCACCTACTCTGTTAAGAGGGATTACCTGACCTGTGAAATTAAAATTACTTTTTTTATATTCAAGACTTTGTCTCTGGGTCGTGCATTTGGGTTCATCAGTTTGTGTTGAGGTCCTGACAAAACCAAACTATTTTTAAGGTTGATCTCTTCTGTCAAAATTAGCTTGAGAGATCTTGTCAAAATTGTAGAAAACCCACTTTTCTGAAACACTGTCTCTGATCAAATGAAAATAAAGTAATATTTATTTCCATAGAGAAAAAACACATTGTCTTACCGTACACATCTGTTTATTTGTTCAGGCACCAATTGCAGCAGTAAAACCGATCCTTTTGAAAACTCTTAAGGATTTGAGTGGCGATGAGCTCGACAGATTTCAGTGTTTGCTGCAGTTCACGTACTTCCAGAAGAGCATATCCTACTCCTTTCATGGATATCCCTATCAGACAGGAAGTGCACTCGAGTTAGTGGATCAGATGGTGGAGACCTGTGGTCCGCAGTCTGTGGAGGTGACCAGGGAGGTTTTAATGGACCTGAACAGAACTGATCTAGTGGAGAGATTATCGGAGACTATCTTAAGACTCAAAGGTAAGAGAAAGAAAACAAAAACTGCTACAGTACACAATCATCTGTGTATCATGGATGTGTAATCCTCTGTGGGACTAATAAAGGTATTCTGATTCTGATTAATACATATATTTTAGAATTCATAATCATGAGTTTTGTAATTGTTGCAATGCAATGCAATGCAATGTATTAGAGTGTTTTTGATTTAAAGGAAAAGTTCACCTACAAAATTATCAGTTGTTCTGTATTACAATTACTCACCCTGAGTTCTCTATAATTGTTGAAGACATCTGTTTTCTTGCATGCCTCCGCTGTGAGTAATAAATAAAGAAATGGAGATCGTCTTCATTAATTGAAGTAAATGGGGGCGTGTTTAATAACAGTTCAACTTTATCTAAACAACCTAACCTCTAAAACACTTCTGCATCAACAGTCTCATACTTGCACGTGGAGTACCCGTCTGTGCCTTGAAATGTATAAAACAGGAAGGTTTAGTGAAAATGCATGTTTTAAGGAAGTAGTGAGCTCGTGCCAGGATAAATGAGACTTGGATTCTACTGCACGAGTTGTTTGGGAGTTTGTAAATAGATGTTTTATATAGTTTTAGTCATACAGTTAATACAGTTTTTCTCTTGTTAAACATAGCTCCCGATTAATCAATACTTTTTTCTGTTTTGTTTCTTGAAGAATTAAAGGTAACAAGGCAGGAGTCATTTCTATTAAAAGGTCATTTTGTGGGTGTAGTGTTCCTTTAATGGGTGTTAATAATATAATGGCAAACCTCTCACTCTTTGTGATTGATTTGAATGATCCCAGCATGAACCATATTTGAGTGTTATTTTGCAGTTTAATTATTCATATTACGTTATCTTTTTCAAAAGTAACTCAATCTGACTAAAGTTGTCCATAGTCTGATTTTGAATCAGTCGTGTGTCATTTTTTCTCCTCAGAGAAACCACTTCCTTCACTGATCCAGAGAGTGAGTAATGTCCCATCACTCTGACTCCACCCAGTGCAGCTTTGACTCAGTAGATTTAGAAGACTGAAAATAATCTCCATCCTGAACATTATTCATGATACAAACATATTTTGGTCTCGGATAGTTTTCTTACAGAAATAATCTGATCACGCCAAGTTAGGTACACATACTGTATGTTCTAAGGCATGTTATTTATGAGTAGTGTTAATAATTTGTGTTACGTCTGTCTGGAGGGGAAATTATAGCACATTCTTCACGAGTTGTTTCTCTAACATTGAGAAAGAGAAATTCACAATACTGATGCAAAAATATAGATAATGATTCTTACTCTTTTATACCAAAATAAAAACATGCAACTGGTTAAACTGCATCTCAGTTGTTAAATCAAGACGCCTGACGTAATTCTTCTACCACAGCCTTTGAAAGAGTTACCTAGGAGGTCAAATAAAGTCATGAATCAAACACGCCGTTTATACAAAAAGAAAAAATGTTTGTGATGAATTGGATGAACAATATAAAGTGCACTGATACGTTGTGCGTGACATGGCTGATGTTCTCTTACCACATCCACTCTTGTAAAACACTGAAACTGACAAGATGTAAACCAAAATAATCTGTAATCATTCCAGCTGAGAAATTGCTCTTTTGCCCCATTAACATCTCCTTTTCTTTTACCAGGTGGAAACGATGGCGTCTGTCATAGAGCTGCTTCTGGAAACACTGAAAGATTTGAGTGACCAGGATTTACAGAGGTTCCAGAGGGTCCTGAATAAAATTCAGTCTGACAAAGGCTACCCAGACATCTCACCAAGGTGGCTCATGATGAGAGACAGGCAGGACATGGTGTTTTATTTGGTGCAAGATCACAGCCAGCACAGACTGCTGGAGATGACCACTGAGGCTTTTGAGAGGATGAACAGGACTGATCTGGTGCAGAGGCTGTCACAAAGCAGCTCAGGACCCAAAAGTAAGACAAATAAAACACAAACATCTTTAAATCATCAAACCTGTTTATCCTAAGTTAATAAGCTCTGTATTCTTCTTTTTAAGTTATAAATATAGATGAAACGTATATTTATAATGTATTTATATCCTAGTGTACAAAATGTTTTTTATGACTACTCAGAACAATGATTAATATTTTGTGAGAGGGTAAAATGAATTGAGTTGGTTTATCTCCACCTCTTTTCTCTTCAGAGAAACACTCAGATGCACAGCGACCTGCAGTGATCCAGAAAGTAAGTAATGTCACATCTGTCTGACTTTCTACAACACACCTTTCCTTCAACAGATAATGATATGACCCAAACACATGATTGACTTATCTATGATGATCTGTCCGTCTGTCTGTCTGTCTGTCTGTCTGTCTGTCTGTTTGTCAAACCCAACAACAACTAACCAGTTTATAGCAAATAGACACATTTGTAATTGTCCAAGAGCAATATACACATGTCTGATGAATGTATTGATTATTTCAGGTAGCAACAATGGCAGCTGTTAAACATCTGCTTTTGGAAACTCTGAATGATTTGAGAAACGAGGATCTAGAGAAATTCAAGCAGACCCTGGATTTAATTGTCTCCAAGAAGAAGCTGAGATATTTTTCATGGATTTTGAGATCCTCAGCAGGCAGAGCACAAACAGTGGAACAGATGATACAGATCTTCGGCCAACAGTGTGTAGAGATAACCATGGAGGTTTTGAAGAACATTAACAGGACTGATCTGAGGCAGAGGTTGACAAAGCCCTGCTCAGAACTCAAAGGTAAGACAAAGAAAAAAAAAAAAACTCACATCGCATACATTTTATATTTCAGTATAAAAAATAATCTGTCGTCATTAACAATGTGAAGTATGAAAAAAACATGGGACAGGAATCTATAGAAACATTAAAGAAATAATAAAATACCATAAAATGCCACCGACATATAGTCTCAACAAGAAACAGAATGTTTTACGTTGAAGTAGTTTAGTTTTGTTGCTGGGATCTTGTGTGTTAGACATTCACTTTATGTTCTCTCTTCAGAGATGTACTCTGTGGATGAACATCGACCTGCACAGTCCGAGGGAGTGAGTCTGACTTTACACATCACAGCTTTCATTCAATAGATGCAAGTTGTTAACCATATCCATCTTGAACATAAACATTATGATGCAAACCAAACCGTTTTTAAGGTTGGTCTCTTCTGTCAAAATGATTTTTCTTCCACTGATGTTCTGATCAGATTAGCAGACTGAAGTCTGAACATATCAAAGTTTGGATTTGTGAAGAAAAAAGCTAAACATATTTAATAGAACAGATGTTAGTGTGTCTTTGACTTGAGAGATCTTGTCAACATTGTAGGAAACCCACTTGCCTGAAACAATGACTGATTAAATGAAAATAAAGTAATATTCATTTCCATAGAGAAATAACACCTTTTCTTAAACATCCGTTGAATTCAGGCACCAATTGCAGCAGAGAAAGAGATCCTTTTGAAAACTCTGAAGGATTTGAGTGGCGATGAGCTCTACAGATTTCAGTGGTATCTGCAGTTCACGTACTTCCAGAAGAGCATATCCTCCTTTCATGGATATCCCTATCAGACAGGAAGTGCACTCCAGCTAGTGGATCAGATGGTGGAGACCTGTGGTCCGCAGTCTGTGGAGGTGACCAGGGAGGTTTTAATGGACATGAAGACAAGTGATCTAGTGGAGAGATTATCAGAGACTATTTTAAGACTCAAAGGTAAGAGAAAGAAAACAAAAACTGCTACAGTACACAATCATCTGTGTATCATGGATGTGTAATCCTCTGTGGGACTAATAAAGATATTCTGATTCTGATTAATACATATATTTTAGAATTCATAATCATGAGTTTTGTAATTGTTGCAATGCTTTTGTATTGGAGTGTTTTTGATTTAAAGGAAAAGTTCACCTACAAAATGACCAGTTGTTCTGTATTACAATTACTCACCCTGAGTTCTCTATAATTGTTGAAGACATCTGTTTTCTTGCATGCCTCCACTGTGAGTAACAAATAAAGAAATGGAGAACGTCTTTATGAATTTAAGTAAATGGGGGCGTGTTTAATAACAGTTCAACTTTATCAAAACAACCTAACCTCTAAAACACTTCTGCATCAACAGTCTCATACTTGCACGTGGAGTACCCGTCTGTGCCTTGAAATGTATAAAACGGGAAGGTTTAGTGAAAATGCATGTTTTAAGGAAGTACTGAGCTCGTGCCAGGATAAATGAGACTTGGATTCTACTGCAGGAGTTGTGTGAGTTTGTAAATAGATGTTTTATATAGTTTTAGTCATACAGTTAATAAAGTTGTTCTGTTGTTAAACATAGCTCCCTATTAATCAATACTTTTTTCTGTTTTGTTTCTTGAAGAATTAAAGGTAACAAGGGAGGAGTCATTTCTATTAAAAGGTCATTTTGTGGGTGTAGTGTTCCTTTAATGGGTGTTAATAATATAATGGCAAACCTCTCACTCTTTGTGATTGATTTGAATGATGCCAGCATGAACCATATTTGAGTGTTATTTTGCAGTTTAATTATTCATATTACGTTATTTTTTTCAAAAGTAACTCAATCTGACTAAAGTTGTCCATAGTCTGATTTTGAATCAGTCGTGTGCCATTTTTTCTCCTCAGAGAAACCACTTCCTTCACTGATCCAGAGAGTGAGTAATGTCCCATCACTCTGACTCCACCCAGTGCAGCTTTGACTCAGTAGATTTAGAAGACTGAAAATAATCTCCTTCCTGAACATTATTCATGATACAAACATTTTTTGGTCTCGGATAGTTTTCTTACAGAAATAATCTGATCACGCCAAGTTAGGTACACATACTGTATGTTCTAAGCATCAATGTAATTTATGAATAGTGTTAATTTGTGTTATGTCTGCTGGAGGGGAAATTATAGCACATTCTTCATGAGTTGTTTTTCTAACATTGAGAAAGAGAAATTCACAATACTGATGCAAAAATAAAAACATGCAACTGGTTAAACTGCGTCTCAGTTGTTAAATCACATGTTTCTACCACAGCCTTTGAAAGAGTTACCTAGGAGGTCAAATAAAGTCATGAATCAAACACGCCGTTTATACAAAAAGAAAATGTTTTTGTGATGAATTGGATGAACAATATAAAGTGTACTGATACGTTGTGCGTGACATGGCTGATGTTCTCTTACCACATCCACTCTTGTAAAACACTGAAACTGACTAGTTGTAAACAAAAAATAATCTGTAATCATTCCAGCTGAGAACTTGCTCTTTTGCCCCATTAACATCTCCTATGATTTTACCAGGTGGAAACGATGGCGTCTGTCATAGAGCTGCTTCTGGAAACACTGAAAGATTTGAGTCACCAGGATTTAGAGAGTTTTCAGATGGTCCTGAGTCAAATTCTCTCTGACAATGGCTACACACAGATCTTACTAAGGTGGCTAATGATGAGAGACAGGCAGGACATGGTGTTTTCTTTGGTGCAAGATCACGGCGATCACAGACTGCTGGAGATGACCACTGAGGCTTTTGAGAAGATGAACAGGACTGATCTGGTGCAGAGGCTGTCACAAAGCAGCTCAGGACCCAAAAGTAAGACTAATATGACACAAACATCTTTAAATCATCAAACCTGTTTATCCTAAGTTAATAAGCTCTGTATTCTTCTTTTTAATTATAAATAAAAAACGAATATTTATAATGTATTTATAATGTATTTATATCGTAGCGTACAAAGTAGGTTTTATGACTAATCAGAACAATGATTAATATTTTGTGAGAGGGTAAAATGAATTGAGTTGGTTTATCTCCACCTCTTTTCTCTTCAGAGAAACACTCAGAGGCACAGCGACCTGCAGTGATCCAGAAAGTAAGTAATGTCACATCTGTCTGACTTTCAACAACACACCTTTCCTTCAACAGATAATGATATGACCCAAACACATGATCGACTTATCTATGATGATCTGTCTGTCTGTCTGTCTGTCTGTCAAACCCAACAACAACTAACCAGTTTATAAGAGTTAAAGGGAAAACATTAAAAGGGATGAGATGCAAATAGACACATTTGTAATCATCCAAGAGGAATATACACTGATGAATGATGTCTGATGAATGTATTGATTATTTCAGGTAGCAACAATGGCAGCTGTTAAACATCTGCTTTTGGAAACTCTGAATGATTTGAGAAACGAGGATCTAGATAAATTCAAGCAGACCCTGGATTTAATTGTCTCCAAGAAGAAGCGGAGATATGTTTCGTGGATTTTGAGTTCCTCAACAGGCAGAGCTCAAACAGTGGAAAAGATAATACAGATCTTTGGCCAACAGTGTGTAGAGATAACCATGGAGGTTTTGAAGGACATTAACAGGACTGATCTGAGGCAGAGGTTTACAAACTTAGAACTCAAAGGTAAGACAAAGAAGAAGAAAAAACTTCACATCACATAAACACGTTTTTCATAAACGTTATATCTCATATATTTTATAATTCCTAATAAAAAAGTAATTGTGAAACCTCGGTGTCATCAATCATCAATGTAAAATATTAAAAAAAATTGGCACAGGAATCAATGCAAACATTAAAGAAATATTAAAATACCAACTGACCAGACTCTCAACAAGTAGTTTAGTTTAGTTGCTGGGATCTTGTGTGTTAGACATTCACTTTATTTTCTCTCTTCAGAGATGTACTCTGTGGATGAACATCGACCTGCACAGTCCGAGGGAGTGAGTCTGACTTTACACATCACAGCTTTCATTCAATAGATGCAAGTTGTTAACCATATCCATCTTGAACATAAACATTATGATGCAAACCAAACCATTTTTAAGGTTGATCTCTTCTGTGAAAATGATTTTTCTTCCACTGATGTTCTGATCAGATTAGCAGACTGAAGTCTGAACACTCATATACAAATGTGCATTTGTCAAGAAAAAAGATAAACATATTTAATAGAACTGATGTTAGTGTGTCTTTGACTTGAGAGATCTTGTAAACATTTTATAAAATCCTCTTGTCTGAAACACTGACTGATGAAATGAATACAAAGTAATATTCATTTCCATAGAGAAATCACACCTTTTCTTACACATCCGTCAGGCACAAATTGCAGCAGAGAAACCGATCCTTTTGAAAACTCTGAAGGATTTGAGCGACCATGAGCTCGACAGATTTCAGTGGTACCTGCCGTTCACATACTTCCAGAAGAGCATATCCTACTCCTTTCATGGACATCCCAATTGGACAGAAAGTGCACTCCAGCTAGTGGATCAGATGGTGGAGACCTGTGGTCGGCAGTCTGTGGAGGTGACCAGGGAGGTTTTAATGGATATGGACAGATCTGATCTAGTGGAGAGATTATCAGAGACTATTTTAAGACTCAAAGGTAAGAGAAAGAAAACAAAAACGGCTACATCCAGAGATGGAGTACTCGAGTCCTGGACTCGGACTCGAGTGCCGATTTTCGGGACTCGTGACTCGACTCGGACTCGCGCACTGATTGACGCGGCTCGGACTTGGACTCGTGAATTCTCGCGCACGATGACTTGGACTCGGACTCGGACTCGGGAATTATCGCGTACGCTGACTTGGACTCGGACTCGTATTTTCCCCCCCACGATGACTCGGACTCGACTTGTACATTGAAGCTCCGACTTGGACTGGACTCGGACTCGAGCAAGTTTTCTATGGAGTCTGATGTCCTCTATCCTGGCGTGTGCACCGGCTGAGAGGCGAGTTCACGTACTGGGCCCCGCTATTCCAGTCTAAAGATGTCTAGAGACACACCCCGCATCGTGCTGTATGCTTTCACACATTCTGCTTCCACATTGGAAAAGAGCAGGCAAAATGCTCTGTGGAAACAATATTGAAGAGAAGGCTCCGTAACACATTACTCTAAGGATCGAGTTCAGACATATAGGCTGTCTTGAACACTATCATCAGAGTAACGTGATCTAATCAATAAATAAAGACTCAGGATAACACGAAAGCACATGGCTACTTAACATGCAGAATGATGTCATTTTGCATGCTAAGTAGCCATGTGATTTCTGGGGCTAAATCTTTATCAGTAAACCGATTTAACCGGTAAAAGTTCCTTCAAAATAAGAGTCCCGATCTTATTACTATCAAAATAAAAGTGCAAAACGAAAACTTTACCATAGGAAAATATTGGCATACAAATATAATCACTTCTCTAAAAGGTAACTCATTTTAAACATGGTTTATTTATATATAATAATAATAATATTAATATTAGTAATAAGCTTTATATTTGTATAGCACCTATTACAAGAATTGTAGCCAAACTGGCTTCACAGCAGTTCAATAGACAGATTAGTATAACATGACAGGATAAAAGCAATGTAGAGGAGCAGCTACATTTCAACACATATATCCACGAAGATTAATACATGAAGACTTGTGACTCGGACTTGACTTGGACTCTTCTTAGGTGACTCGGACTTGGACTCGGACTCGACTCGGACACTCCTTGGGTGACTCGGACTTGGACTCGGACTCGAACACAGGTAATGATGACTCGGACTCGACTCGGACACTCCTTGGGTGACTCGGACTTTGACTCGGACTCGACTACGACTCTCCCTTGGTGACTCGGACTTGGACTCTGACTCGAAGAGTGGTGACTCGAGAGTGACTTGGACTCGTGAATTGGTGACTTGACTACAACACTGGCTACATCACACAGAAGAGTTCATAGTCATGAGTTTTGTAATTGTTGCAATGCTTTTGTATTTTGTATTTTTTATTTTAAGTAATAATTAACCTACAAAATGACCAGTTGTTCTGGATTACAATTACTCACCCTGATTTATCTTTAATTCTTGAAGACATCTGTTTTCTTGCATGACTCCACTGTGAGTAACAAATAAAGAAATGGAGACATTTCTATTAATTGAAGTAAATGGGGGGCGTGTTTAATAACAGCACAACTATCCCAAAACAACCTCACTGTTTGAAACACTTTTGCATTAACAGTCTCATACTTTGAAATGCGCTACTCTTCTGCACACATCTGAAGTAGTGAGCTAGTGCCAGGATGAATGAGACTTTGATTATACTGCACGAGTTGTGGGGGAGTTTGTAAATGAAAGTGTTATATATATGCAGTTATATAGCTTATATCGTTTTCGTGTTGTTGAACACGGCTCCCGATTATTAAACACTTTTGATTCTTCGTAACTCAAGTGCAGTAATGAAGAAAAAAAAAAAACATTCCTTAAGAAGCCGTTTAATCTTATTTTGAATCAGTCATGATGAGGATTTTCCTTGGTTTTCTCCTTAGATAAACATCCGTCCAAACCACCGAAGGAGGTGAGTCATATCACATCAGACACACTTTACACAACACGGCTCTCATTTAGGTTTTACAGTTTGCAAATGTTGACAGTAAAGAGGTGGAAAATGTTTTCAACTAGTGGATATATTATATTGAATTCCCTCTGATGACATTGAATCCATTAGGAAGTAACTGTGGCATCACTGGAGGAGAAGCTTCTGGAAACACTGGAAGATTTAAGTGATGGAGAGCTCGAGAAATTCAAGCGTGGCCTCCAAAGAATCTCAAGTCAGAGATTAGAGACGGCAGGGAGAGTGGAGATTGTGGATCTGATGGTGGAGATCTACGGCCAACAGTCTATGGAGGTGACAACAGAAATTTTAAAGAAGATGAAAGAAGACGATTATGGTCTGGAGCAAAAGTTGTCCAACATCACTTTAGGATCCAAAGGTGTGAAAAGCCAAGTGTATTTTTATTGTATTATTTCAAGCTTCCAAAAAGACATCACTCACCAGTTTTTCCTACATAACAAATTTGCTCTATTGCTACATCAGCGCTATGTAGCACGTAGTGCTAAAGGGCATAGAAGTTACCATATGATTTAATTTACATTTTTTTAAGGAACATCATTCAACAAAAATCTTGTTTCTCCACAAGGGCCTTCAAGAAGCTTGGAGCTTGAGGGCAGTGAAGAAATGATGGTAATTCCTTACATTTTATTTATGTATTCAGTTATTTTTTGATCATGTATGGGTTAATTTATGTGATTTTTCCAAAAGTCACGTCTTCACTTATTTGTAAAAATGATTGTCCTCTGCAGAAGGACTCCAGTGGCTGGACTAAACTTGAACCTGAGGTGAACAGTACAGATGAAGATGAGGCATCAACTTACAGGTACAAATAGTTTCCTAAATACTGCATATTATCAAACTGGAAATATAGTAAACACTGAAGCTTCGGTCTTTGGATTTCTTCACAGAGAGAACACTAAGATCTGCTACAAATATTTCCCCAATAGTATTAATGCCACATTTTGTACCAAATACAAACTCAGTATTTTTTTCATTATATTTTAGCCTAAAGTCTGAAGCGGGAAACTTTGAATGCAGTGTCTCTGGCTTGCGCTGGGTCTGTCAGGAAAAGGTCAGCTTTAAGTACCAGTTTTGCTCTTCGGAGGAACCCATGAAGAGGATGGAGATGATGAAATACATGCCTGCAGGTCCCCTGATAGACATCACAGTGATTTCTGGGAAGTTATTTGAAGTGTACCTGCCACACTGGATCTGCATAGGTAAGTGATCATGGAGGAAAATAACAAAATAATCAATGCATTTGTTTTATTCACATTCATTTATTGTGCTTTATACTATGCAGATGACATCCCTAAAATATTGCAAAAGTTTGCAGTCCTGCACATAGATGACTGTGGAGATGTTGTGGAAAAAGTGTCTGAAGTCACATCGTCCCATGTCAAGCTGTCTGAACCAGTTTTCTCTCCAAGAGCCGTCCTGATGAAAATGGGCTTTCCAGTAAAAATACACTGTAATGTGTTGATTTATTCAAAAGCCTACGCATCCTGCACCGTTCTTCATGTTTACCTGACCCCGCTCGATCCTGCTCTTAAAGAGGTTACTGAATATCTTACTGTCACACATTCAAAATGAAATCAAAACCTACAATGGAGTATTTGGGCTGAATTGTGAAAATAACATCTTTAATTCTTAAAGTAGTCATGTTATGAGAGTACAGTCATAAGTGAGGGAAAACATATGAAGGAAATATTATCTTAAAAGGGTCCTATTGTGTGTTATGGAAATGGAGGATTTTAATACAATCAACTTCCAATTGTCAAACATGAACACAGCACCGCACACAGTGAATTCTAGTCTCTGCCTTTAACCCATCCTTAAACAAGAAGCAGTTGACTGCTATATTACAGTGCCCAGTGTGGGGCTCTGGTGCCTTGCTCAAGGTTACCTCAGCATGAACAGGAGACCAACTGCCACCTCACAAAGTATCAGTCCCCACTCTTCACTTGATCCCTACAGGGTCTTGAACCTGCAACCCTCTGGTCGCCAAGCCAAGTCCCTACAAACAGAGCTAGCTCTGCCCAAAACTATAAGCTATGTTTGCAACATGACTCTCAATGATCGATACTTGGTTGACATTTTATACTTATCATTGTGTTATAACGTGTTCCCTGATAATACTTATCAAGCGAGATATCATTTAGTTTTTTAGATCATCTCGAGGGAAGGTTCTGCTCCATGGAGAGCTGGTTCAAACAGCAAAGCATTTAAGCCAATTGAACTGTTTCACATGTTGCTATAAATGTTAAATACAATCACAGACGTGCCTCAGACCTATTTGGTGGTAATTGTCGATGACGCTGCAGCTTGGTTTGATCTCACTTATTTCGTTACTCTC